GTCAGATTTATATGACATAGCTATTGTAGGCTATAGTGGGGTAGCACATATGGGGTACAGTTTTCTAGGGTTTGTATTTGTACCCAACTTTCACTTAGTCATTTCAATCTCGTTCTGATTTCCTCAATGGGGGAGAGCGATATTTTCTTACGATCATCGACGACTGGAGCAGAGTCATGTGGGCCTACCCCTTGAGGCAAAAGAGCAATGCAGCACCGGTGATTCAGGATGAATGGATTCCTACATCAGAAACATAATCTGAATGTCGGGTGAAGCGGATTCGCACTGATCGTGGTGGAGAATTCACGGGAGACAAGCTGGAGAAGTGGCTGAAGAAGAAGGGAATCATAAAGGAAAAGACCACAGCTTATTCTCCACAGTCCAACGGGGTAGCTGAGCGAGCAAACAGAACGATTCTCGAGACAGCCCGGGCACTACTCATCGAGTCCGGTCTCGGAAACTCAAAATGGCCGCATGCTGTAAGGCATGCAACGGTGGCACGAAACAGGGTCCTCACGAATGTCGGAGATGAGAGTTGGGTTCCAATGAGACGGTGGCTCAAGTGGAAACCGCCAGTTGACATGCTGCGCGTATTCGGATGCATGGCGGTGGCTCACGTTCCCAAAGCCCACAGGAGCAAGTCAGGAGCGAGCGCGATCTGGTGCGTGCACCTTGGCCTGGCACAGGAAAGCAAAGGGTGGCTGCTGTGGGAACCGAAGAAAGGGCGTTTCTTCGACAGCCGAGACGTGAAATTCCTTGAGAACGTGATGTACGGGAGCTGGAAACAACAGCCGGAGGAGAAAACTGCACAGCAACTGCAGGAGATTTCTCTGTCATTCAATCTGACTCAGGAGGAAGCCCCTCAGGCAGAACCTGCGGAAACCAAGGAAAACAGGGTCGAAGTGGGGGAAGGTAGCAAGGAGCCAACCGAGGAGTATAGTTGAGCAAAAGGGAAGGAAGAGCAGCAGCATCCTCTCACTCAAATGAAACCTCCATCCCTGCCCGTGAGGAGAACTCAAACGCGCTCAATGTCTAATAGAGCAGCATCAGCAACCGCAGCAGATCTGATGAGGACGGCGGCGCTGAAGCTGAGAAACCTAAACCTACGGAAACCAGAAGGGGCGCTTCAGGAAAGGGAAGATGCTCTATTAGTGACAGGGGACGGAACTAAGACTGAAAGCAAGGAAGAGCCGGCTTACTGCTTCGTGATCCCTGAACAACCTGCAAGCATGGAGGAAGCCCTCACCGGAGCAGACAAGGAAAAATGGCTTGCGTCCAGGGATGCCAAATACAACAGCCTACTAAAGAATAACACCTGGGAACTCGTTCCCTTGTCGGAAGGGAAAAGGGCGCTTCAGTGCAAATGGGTCGTGTGGATCAAAACTGACGAGAAGTGCGAGGTGACAGTGTACAAGAGCAGATTGGTGGTAAAGGGTTTTCAACAGAAGGAAGGGGAGGATTTTCGAGAGCTTTTTGCGCCCACTGCTAAACCTCCAACTCTGAAAGTAATTCTTGCTGACGCAGCAGTGAACAGATGGTACATCCAACAGATGGATGTAACCACGGCTTTTCTCTATGGGGTAATCGAAGAAGTCTACATGGAGCAGCCTTCGGGATATGAGGACGGAACGGGGAGAGTATGCAAGCTAAACAAGGCAATCTACGGTCTCAAGCGGGCACCAAGGTGTTGGTATCAAAAACTGGCAGCCGTTTTGGGGGAGTTGGGATTCAGAGCAAGCAGCTGTGATGAGAGCTCGTTTCTGAAGGGCGAGAAGGAGGAGATGGTGCTGTTCTTGGTGTATGTCGACGACATACTACTATTCAGCAGCAGCATAAAGGAGATTCAAAAGGTGCAGAAAGAGCTCATGGAGACTTTCCAGTGCAAGGTCCTTGGAGAGGCTTCCTACTACCTCGGCATGCACATCGAACGCGACCCTGATCACATGTGGCTGAAGCTTCATCAAGAGAAGTACGTGATGCAACTGCTGGAGAAATACGACATGGAGCTCGGACGGAAGGTCGCCACCCCACTACCATGCGAATTCAAACTTGTCAAAGTGGAAGAAGGAGAAGGAGTTGAGGAGGGAGAGCAGCGACGCTACCAATCACTTGTGGGGAGCCTTCTGTACGCCGCTGTACACACAAGGCCGGACATCTCCTTTGCGGTCGAACAACTCGCCAGGGTGGTGTCCAACCCAACCGAGGAACAAGTTGATGCAGTCGAAAGAGTCGTAAAGTACCTGAACTCATTCCCATCTGTAGGAGTTCAATTCTCAGCAACGGCACAGCAGAAGCAGAAGGGGGTAGAGCTGCTGAGGGAGAAGGGAGAAAGGTTACCGGAACGGAAACTCTTTCTCACTTGCTTCTCGGACGCAACCTGGGCATCGGAGCAGGAAGACTAATCCTCTGTGGGTGGATATATCTGCGTGATAGGGGGAGGACCGGTGAGCTGGAGGTCCAAGAAACAGAGTGAATTGGCTCTTTCATCTGCCGAGTCCGAGTACATGGCCATGTTTCATGCCGTCAAGGAAATCATACGGCTGAGAAGGTTACTGGAAGAGATTGGACAAGAGCAGACGATTCCCACGCCACTCTACTGCGACAACATGTCAGCAATCGCAATGGCTTGCAACGCTGTCCTTCACGGCCTCAACAAACACATGCGCCTGAAGTGGCACTGGTTGCGCAAGGAAGTCAACCGAGGAACTGTCAACCCGATCTACATTAAGACACAGCAGCAGCCGACAGATATGTTGACCAAGAGGCTGGCTGACGAACCACACTGGCGATGTGCAAGGATGAGCGGCATGAGCATGAACTAAGGGAGAAGGGGAGAAAAACCGACAGATTGAGGGGGAGTGTGTTAATACAGAATCAATTTTCTGTATATCAATCAGCCGGTTTATCTCCTGGGAGTGCACAAGTCATTTGAGGCGAGCAGCGCTAAGGCGGATCGTTTATTATCGAAGTGGGATGTAGCTTTGACCAATCGGAGGTGTCGGTTCATAAACTCGGCTTGACTCGACTGATTGATCGATCAAAAGGCAGCACGGAATTCCCGTTTGCGCTGCGAGCTCGCTGATGCTCAAAGCGACGAATTTCGACTACGCTGATTGGTCAATGTTCGCGCAACGATTTCGTCGTTCTGAACAGGTTCCGAACATGTTCAGAACATGTTTTCGAACATGTTCTGAACAGGTTCCGAACATGTTTAGAAAAGGTTTCGAACATGTTCTTAACAGTGTTCACGCAAGTTCGTAACAGGCTTCGAACAAGCTGACGCGGCTGAAGTAGAGAGCAGCTATTTGCGCACCGACATTCTGAGAGCTGCACTCTCGCCATCTGGAACTCGTCAGCTCGAGAAAGGGCTCACGACTTGAGCGATCAAAGTACGTGGCGAAACTGCTAACGCCACCAGTATTTCGAGCGAGGAGATTGGCCCAAATCAGCATGCATGTTCAAGACAGCGAAGCTTACTCAAATAAACAGAACGGATCGATCGGAGCCGTTATCAGAAGAGCGCGAAAATAAGAACGGATCAATGTCGTTAACAAGATTCGCGCAAACGGTTAAAATATTTGCCGACGAATGGCAACCTAAGCCGAGTCACAAAATAAAACGAGGGAAACGCGAAAATTGCTCGCGCCTCGCGAATGATAGGAATTGCTTAGAGATGTTAGATATCTAGCAATAGGATCAGCCTAGAGAATATAAAAATGTATGTCTCGGATATTAAGAAACACTCTCTCTGTCTATCAAGCATTCTCTCACGCGACTCTCAATTTTATCAAGGATTCTCTGACTACGCCGCAACATAGGATTTCCGCTGGTTGGCGAAGTGGCACCTTCGCAACATCCACACTCATTATGAGAAACTCTTTTCAAGATGTGTGAAAATATTTCGAAGTAGTTTAAAAAGTTTCCATTTATAAGACTCATAAGACACCATAAACCGTCCCAAATACCGTAAGCCCCCGGATAGTAGCGCAGGCCTCGGATAAGCGCCGGCGCTTATAAAAGGATGAGGGCGCTTATATTTGGTCCTCGATTATAAGCGCACCCCTGAAGGCTTACGGATTATAAGCACCACCCTCTGAATTAATTTTATTTTTTTTATTGGAAACGCTGTAACGAAACACAATTTTTGCATCCCCACATTCAGAAATTCGAATCCCTTCACCATCGCGCGACTCAATGCCTTCGCGTCCAGTCAGAATGACCTGTCATGGGGTCAATCTGACTCATTCTGACTGTGCGTGTTGGCAGAGAATCAGCCACTGCCAATTTACGCGAGATTCACATTCCAGCCCTCTACAATATCGATTCGATTCAAATCGCAAAGACGAGATGAACACTTTGGTGCAGAAAAACTAGATTTCATATATGTCAATTTATAAGCCCCGGCGTTTATAAAAATCCTCAATTATAAGCCCACCCCCTAAAAAAGAGTGTTTTTTTATAACCCCAGGGGCGCTTCTATCCGGGGGCTGACGGTACAAGATAACCCAAACATTTATACCCGTGTACGAGATAAGACATATATGTCTTCTATCCGGGCGATGGCGGTAGTATTATTGGACAATGATGGTTATGGCACACAAATAGTCTTCCCTCCTACTGTTCCAGCGCAAGCATTCCCATTGTAGTCTGTATACGCCGCAATAGCAGCAGCTCCTCCGCCGTAGAAGCGATAAGCACCAGAACATGTCAATGTTTTTGCTACTCGCTTTGCCCTCCCCTTGCTGCACGAGCCCAACTGGAATGACCAATACTCCGCTCTGAGGCAGATCTGGGATCACAAGATACATGTCAAGAAAGTGCAGAGTGTGTAAGTATGGTACGTAGGAGACGACCAACGTGACAAGGTAGGGCGACAAGGCACATGCACCCTTGCTGAAGTCTGCATGGAAATGGCAGCATGCATAGTCTAGTGGTTCTCCTCGCCTTTCAAATGCCACAAAAGATCTCTCCCCCTTTCCCCCGCCCCCACACTCCCTCCCTCAACCTCCCCCAGCCCTCACAATCCTCACCTGCACACCAATGTTGCTGCCGATAGCGGAGGCAGAGGAAGGGATGGTGGCGGAGCAAGTGAGGCCGGGATTGTTGCGGTACAGCGCAGCCCATGCATCCACAGTGACACCCCCTTGTGAAATGCGGTTCCTCTTAAGCAGCTGGTCACATGTGTCTTGAGGTGCGAGCGTGCCATATCTCACACACGCGGGCACGGTGAAGGCGAAGGCAGCACTGCGCTCGAGGCACACAGAAAGGCCCGCCTTGATGGGCTTGGAGCAGTCAAGGCCGGGGTTGAGCGCAATGAGATTCTCCATTTTGAAGTTGAGCGGTGTGCTGATGGATGCACAGGTGTCCCCCTGGAGGGTTGAACAGAGGCACGGAAAGTGATGCTTGGTGCTTGCGATGTGCTTAATAAAACTGTGCCAGGTGCTTGGGATGAGCTGTGTTGACTACGCGAGTTGGTTGAGTACAAGGTGTGATGTGGGCAACTAAGCAGCAATTCTCACGTTGAGGGAGTAGAAGAAGGCAGTGCAGGGTGTGGCGGGAGTACCATCCAGCTGAAGGACACTGCCCTTGGGCAATGGCTGGCTGCAGTCGATGCCCTGCATTGGGAAACACATGCATGGGTGAGAGTTCGTACCACATTCCACACATGGAAGGCCTCCTCTCCATACTAGGTCCTGGAGAGAAAGGTTCTCACACCTCAATATCTAATACAGATTTTTAGGATTCGACCTGTGAATGAAAGAGGGGAGGCTATCTCCTCGTTGATGGGAGGGATAAAGGAGTGCAACACAAAGCTGTAAGGTGGCTATTAACTCCAACCCCCTCTTCACTCACTATATTCTGGTCAATGAAGTCAATCATTGAGAGGCCAATAAGCAGATGAACATCCGAGCACCTCCAGTTGTCTCCACTAACTGTCATTGTGGTCGCCGTGGTATTAGCTGCAGGCAGATTTGGGAGTGAGACAAGAGGATCCGTTTCAGGAACCGGAATACGTGGCGAGGTGGAGGTTGCCAGCCCGGTCAAGCAAACGGAGGTTACCAGGCATATTCACAAGCAAACAAGACTAATGGACATATTCAAGCCACTTACTTGGATCGCAGGTCGGGAAATCATCCACTGTTGTGCTTTTAATGTGGTTGGGAGGGCATATGCAAGAGTAGGAACCCTTGCCATCATTGATGCATGCTCCCACATAGCAGGGGTTCTTGAAGTATGACCCACACACGTCCACTGCCACACGTGTTACGGGGTCGCAGATAGTACAGAGAGTTGAGGCAAACAAGGTTTTTCATATGAAATTGAGAGGGAATATTGGGAGAGAAAAAGGGTATATGGTCTGCACAAGTCCAGCTGGCCGTTGCCACTGGGTGACCTCCAACACACACCGGACACAGGCAAGAGGAGGATGTAGAGCACAAGGGTCATAGAGGAGTCTTTTCTGCTCATCCCATTTCCCTCACTCTTGTGGCACACACTGCACACATCTGATAACTCTTGCTTGATACAGCAGCACGACATAAATTAGTGTAAGACCAAACCACATGCCCTTCTACTCGCCCTTTGACTTGCTTCTCAACTTACCATAAGCACATGTGGAGCCAATTCCATTTGCAATCTCTACAAAAGGCTGCACAGTAGCGGTAGGAATATTGCAGGAGCAATTATTGCTACTTGCTGTCTTCCCCTGGCACTGGAACCTGCCGCACGGGTTCATGCTGGGCTGCAAGTCCCCATCGCCCTTGTAGCTGCTTTCTCCACAGGGGTCCCCTGGAACTGGAACGCGTCAAAGAGGATACATTTGAAAAACACGTTTCAAAGAAGATACACGAGTAGAACATTAGGATGGATGTTGGAGGATGACGGAAAATAAATAAAGAAAGAGGTTAAGCTTCAATCTCAACTTTTGTATCTGTGACTTCTATATCGTAGTTTTGTGTTGTTGTACATTTTGTGGGTTGGATGTTACACCAACATGCCAAGGATTCAACCCCAAGATTCAACCTACCAAGGAAATTTCAGCCAATCTCATTACGAAGTGGCCCAGACCCTTCCCTAAAGTTGCAACTCGATCAACTTGATGCATTTTTTGTGAGTTTGCACTTGCCCATATTGATGCCTGCTTCGCCATCTTGCCCTTACCTTTGGGGCGTCCTCTCATCCTCTCCTAAAGAGGTTTGGGTTCCAGGCAATAAGGTAGATATGGCTCACCTCACCTGTGAAAATGTTGATGTGGCTCGCTCTTAACAATGGTGCCTTACTCTTCACAATTGGGTAGATGCCAGGCAGCACGTTGATTCCACACACGCCATCCCCTCCCTGAATGTCCATGCGCATGTGGCCCCCGTCTCCCCAATCCTCTCCCCACGAGTTGCGGATGATCCAAAACGGAGGAGCAACACGGTTCTGGCTGCCATCATTTCTTGTGATGAAGTAGCCAATAACGAGTACAACATGGTTGAGATTGCCCGTGTAGCAACCAGGATCCTGGAATTTATACGTCTGAAGCAGGACATAAACAAAGAGGGAGTCGAGTAAGTACAGTTAGACAAGCATGAACATGTAGATGGGGATGCATCACTTCGAATTGATGGAAATCATCTGACTGTGGAAGTTCCTTCCATGCAAATGATGAACCACAACACAAGGACCGCCCAACACGGTAGGCACCATACCGAGTGAGTGTTGCAGCGGCTCACCCCATCATACTTCATGAAGGTCGGAGACACCTCGATGTGAACCACCACTGGCTGCCGCTGCACTGCCAGCATGAGACCCACATACCCCTTGAACTGCGCTCGCTCAAATGCCTGCACCGGGTACGTTGTTACCTAGGGCCAGAAGATTGCAGGAGTTTTGGATGGGAAAAAGTGGGGGTGGGGTTGGGGGTGAGATTGGGGTGGGAGAGTGGAGGACTGAAGGAGTTCTGGAACTAGGAAACGATACACCTGTCCTTCCTCCATGTCAGGCGATGCCTCAAAAGATCAGCAACAAATCTCTGGGCGTCAAGCGCTGACATAAAAGCTGAGCAAAGTTATTACCGGAAACTTGCTTAGCTGGTCCTATGAGCTGCCTTTGCTACAATTTCTGGAGTCTGGAGCGGAAAAGCAAGTAGAGTAATATACCCTCCACACAGTTCACAACAATATAATACTCATGACTATATCCTCCCCGCATCATACATACCATACCATACCATGTCCTCGTGCTGTTTTGCCTTACCAGGTCACTATCCCCTGTGAGCCCACTGGAGGTATCGAGAGCCACGAGCGTCTCAAAGGCGTGGGTGGGAGAGCCGCCAGCGGAGCACTTGTCGGAGTCGGAGAGCCCCATGAGGGCGAAGAGACCCTCCACTGCCAACCGGGGAGCGCTCTGGTGCTTTGCAATGCCGTATGCCGCCTCCACACTCGCCACCACCGCATACGCCCAGCACGCATCTGAGAGGAAGGCGACGGCGAAGCAAGATGAAGCATACAATAATGATGGAGTGATGAAGATAGGCTGCACATTGTGTTGTATTTGGGTTACGAGATTCTTTATAGGGTTTGATTGAACCAGTATAGCATAGATCTCTCATTTCCAGCCTTTGTAACGTAATTAAACCACATCTTTTACAGTTCATAGACTTTCATGGAGTTCTCTTCCGATTTCCCCTTCTCCATTGAATCCCTCTTGATGTGCCGTACTTAAGGCTGAGAGCCGTTTATGCAGAAGATGCAGGTTCAATGGCATTTCCTGTGTAAAGGTGGCACAAACTACAGTAAACAATAAACAAAGCGTTAACTGACAATGATTTAGGAATGCAACACACTAAATTCAATGCTGTTTTTGCTTGCAGTTGATTGATCATAGCCAGCATAACGGAATGGGAAAGGCGTCTCGGACAGTGAAGTGGATACCCACAATTCTATTTCCACTCACTGCAGGTTGCTTGGTTCTTGACAGGCCAGTTGAGGAAGGGCACGGAGTCCCACGTGTGGAAGTCACGAATGCTCCACGAGTTCGCTCTGGTGGCCGACAGCTTGAAGTCCGCACTCACATAGCGCGAAAATGGGCTGGCTCGAGATGGTGCAAATGTAGCCTCTGACAGTGAGAGGCCAAGGGCTGTGAGGGGCGGGAAGGGTTGGACATGTGGATGAAAACAGGGTAGAAATTACGAGTAGATTGGTTAGATTGAAGTCAATCACTGACAACCCAGCATGGCGAACGGCCTTAGTGAGTAGATAAGAAGCATTGCAATCAGAGCAGTGTATTGCACCTTCTGGTGGCCATGCAGAGAAGGTCACACATGAAAAAGTTGCAAATCTAGTTGTGTTTGGTGTAGGTATGGAGAATGGGGATCCTTGGTGAGGTGGACTAGATCCTTGGGGAGAAGCGAGAGCCACCGAGTTTCTTGAGCTGCCATAGTGCTGGCTAGACATGAGCAAGTAGGCAAGATTTATTTCCTCGGCTCGTCCACTAAAACAACCTCACCGCTGACCTAGGCCAAAAAAACTCGTCCTAGGCCAAAACTACTCGTCCAAGACGCAGGACGCGTCTTTCGCAACATAGCTTCTAGCGACTCACACTGGTAGACAGCTAGGATAATGTGGTGGTAGTTCTGCCAGTAGCTCACTAACAACAGACCAGGATGGCGTGGTGGGAAATGTATGGACAAAAAGTGGAACACGCCGTAACCTACAAAAATGTTTCAAGGGATGGTGCAGGTTGCTAATAGGTTCTGGTTGCCAAATGACTGGGAGCTCACCTTGCTCTTTGACCTCGACTGGCTTTGGTAAAGGAACGCCTGTGGAGAGGGACACACGTTGAAAGAGAAGCACAGAAGCCATAGAGTGTTCATTGGGTATTGGATAAGAGAAAGCACCACATGAGTGGGCAGGAGTGGCAAGACAATGCTTGTTAGCTACCACTGTCATCATCTCCATAATGGCCTCGCCATGGCAGGTGCCACCATCATCATCAGTACCTGGTCCGACAGACCACCACAAATAAAAACCCCATCCTACTGTATGGTTCATTAGGCATTGGCAATGCTCAAAGCGGATTTGGTTCAGGGTGTCAACCAACTGGGTGGTCGAACCAAACCCAAAATTGGAACTACCGGCTGATTTCGATCTCATTCTGACCCATCATTGAAATGGTGCCCGGCTACAAGGAATTAATAAAAACCATGCGATCAAACTGGATTACTGGGGATTGGTAAGAATGAAGAGAGATGCAAAGCTGTAGCTTAAACGTCCTTTTTTTATCCTAGAAGCCATCAGTACCAGCAAAAAACCACCACCTCCACCACCACCACCACCCCCACCCCATCATCAAGGCAGTCAGCTCAGCATCACCACAGATGCCCCACGATAACCTTGCCTGTTTTCACAGTCGAGGAGGTAATGACTTGCATCAGGAAGGGCTTCACAGTGGTGGACGCCACGAAGCCAAAGAAGAACGCTTGCTGCTTCACTCCAGGCTGCAGCACCCCACACAGCGACACCCTCCCCTGCACCACCGGCTCCTCCGGTTTCACGTTTGAGTTTGCCAGGAACACTTGAATGGTGCTGGGATTTCCAGGCTCATAATCCACCCACACAGTGTATGCATTGCCATCGGTGAAAGCGAACGGTGACACCTCCGTGACCAAGGGTTCCTCTGTGCCGTTGATGCTCAGCCCCACGTGCTGCTCGCCCGCATCATCCTGAGGTGTGTTGAAGACAATGGCCAGGCTCCGAGGTCCCACTCCACGATACCCCACACCTCCAGCCTTCCCCACCTTGGGCTTTGCTGCAATCACAAATGCAAAGCCGTTCGACCCGGCAGTACCAGACTGGAGCATCACAGAAAACGTGAAGTTGACTTTGAAGGCCAACTCAAAGCCGCACCCCGATGTCACACCACGCGGGTAGAAGAACAAGGCCACTGGCTTCGGCATGAACTTCCCCACTGTTTTCTGCTGAGTGCCTTTGGTGAGCACCGTGAATGGTGGGAAAATACTTCCTTGGAAGCCTGGAGAGTTGCAATGAAAGGGCAGCAGCGCATGGGGAAGGATGTGTTAAAATATATATATTGTACCATGCCAACACATGTGACTGTACACCAATTGTGGTGTACAGTTGGGTTGGGACTACACCCAACTTTGGGTGTAGTCTTGCACTTTGGGGTGCCAATCCACCCAATTGTGGTGGAGCCCCCAAATGCAACCCTCTTGACTTGTGGGTGCCTCACTTCCCACAATTGAGGTTCCCCCAAGCCAAGTGGGCCTAGGGTTGCCTCACTTCCACAAAGTATGGGCAACCCAACCCACTTGACCTATGGTTCCCTCATCTCCCCAAGTGAGGTCAACCCAACCTATGGTCACTTTGATCCTTCTCTCCCATCCTTTCCATCCAACTTCAACTTCCAACTATGTATGCTAGGTTGCCTCTCTAATCCAATTACTTGTTCAATTTGCTACTTTCACAGGATGGGGAGTTGTGGAACAACAGAATGTGTGTGCTAGACCGTGCAAACCAGATTACGTGGTCATCTCTATAGGTTGGCCTTTGTAGTTTTGGAGCCTGCCTAAGTTGTTTTGCTGTAGGGATGAGCAAGGTGGCGAACACCTGTTCGGTTCGCCTCGAACACGTTCGAGTCGAACCGAACAGGTTTTGTTTTTTAGCTCAAATCGTTCGCCGAACAGTGTTCGATGTTCGCCCGAACACGTTCGTGTTCGGGCCGCTGCTGAAATTTGCCCGCGACGAACACGAACAGTGTTCGAGGTTCGCCCGAACACGCCTCCACAGGCGAACAGCGAACACCTGTTATTTCCTAAACTGTTCGCCGAACCGAACAGTGTGCGTTTCGGCAAAAGAGGGTGTTCGACAAGGGGTGAAGACGAACATGTTCGTGTTCGCCCTTTGCTCATCCCTATTTTACTGTGTGTTGCACCCATGATTTAACAAGCTCAACAACCATGTGTGTGAATAACCTGGGGAAAATGGAGCCAAGCGTGGGTAAGCCAATGTGTGCAAGTTATAAAGTAGAGGAAAATGCAATGAAGTGCAGAAGGGAAGGAGCATGAACTGTGAGGACCTTAAAGCCAGTGTTCTATGACTTTAAAAGCATGTTCCAACTGTTCATTACCTCCTGGAATAGTAATACAGTTAGTTCTTTCAAACTGCACCAATCCCGCACCACACAGGCATGTTGGCACCAAGCTGGGCCCATCTAGGTAGCACATGCCACGACCACCACAGGCAGCAGTGGTTGGAGAGATGCCACAGAACGCCATGCACTGTGCTGCAGGCCGCTGATTGGCAGGTTCACAGGCTTTCTTTGGTGCAAAGCAGTTGGCGACGATGGTGTGTTGACGGCAGTCACGTCCGGACACAACACCCGACAGGTAGTTGCTGGAGAGGTCCGCTATGATGACGAATGGAAGCTTCACATAGGGGCCTGTGAGGTAGTTGCGGGAGACATCACTGCCAGGGGGAGGGTAGGAAAACAAAGATGATAGAAGAGGATAACAAAGGGGAGCGGTCAGTGGAGAGCATGGATCTGGACTCGCAACAAGAGGAGGAGATATGGCAAAGAGAGGAGAAGCAGATTCTGGAGCACAGTCTATAAAAGATGGACTTCAAGATCATCTATTGTACTAGCAATGTTTCTAAGGGCCCCATGACCGTCAATATCATAGCATGTGCATGGCATGTAAAAGATGGACTTCAATGTCATATACTGTCCTTCGCTCAATGTAGTTGGTTTCTGTGTGTTATCACTTTGGCTTTGGATGCCAAAGTGATCCTTCATAACAGGCAGCGGCACAGAGGGGATTCACAAGGATATTAGAGACCAGCAGCTAGGTGAAACCCAACAGCTGTCTTCATGAGCCAACAAGCTCAACACTTTAAAATATTTCACTAGAAAAGGAGATACAGGGGAGGGGGGAGGGGTGTGAGGTGGCTAGGATACAAAGGCTTTGCACATGGAGTAACATTATGGACACGAGCAATGAACGAAACTTGGAATGGTTGAGAGCAAACAGATTTGCCTCGAACCAACCAAGGCCTCCTTATCATCCATCTGCTTCAGGATGGATTGCAGAAGTTCGACTTGAATCCCTTCAGGTTCGAACATGAATATTTACGCGTCGATTCGTGAGCTGTTCGGGCTATTTCGACCAAAAGAAGAAGTAATTCGGATCCAAACCTGTTCGGGTCCAGGACTTGCTCATGCCTCACAGGATACGCAGGTTTTTAAGGTTGCCTATTGCAGTGGGAATCGTGCCACTCAGTTTATTGCTAGAAAGAGACCTGCCACGATGAGCAAAAACGGGCATGCAGAGAAGATACAGGAAGCTCAAGCTTGTATGATAACGAAGTAATGTTGTTGGGAGGAGAAATACAAGAAAATGCAAGAGAGGCATGAAAGGCAGTGCGATGGACATTGTCTGTCTGTACAGACAGTGGCAGGGGATGGATGTGGGCAGGAGTCGAGAAACACGAGTTCTTAGCGGAGAGGTTGGTGGCCATCGTAGCTGATGCGAGTGGTAAGAAAAGATTGGAAAATGGAGTGCATGGCTCAGGAATAGCAATGAAAGATGGAGGAACGGCGAAGAGTAGCGAGGAGAAGAGCCTGGAGTACATCCGAGCAAAGGCCTTGTTTGGGGCCTACAGAGAGTATAGTTGTGCGAGGTTGCCGATTGCAGCAGGAATTGTGCCACTGAGCTGGTTAAAAGAAAGTACTCTGCAACAACGAGCACGAATGGGCATGTGGTAGATATAGGAAGCTCAACTTTGCATGCCAACGAGCAACGGATAGGAGCAACAGCTCCACTGGTGGCGAAATCCCTGAGATGCAATGGAGGCATGAAACGCAGCATGATGGACATTGCCCTTGGGATGTGTGCTGATACTGGCAGGGGGAAGATGGGGGCAGGAGCAACGTGCACTTTGTGTGCCCCAAGGAGTGTCATCAACATATAGAATGGCCCTGGGAGCGAGAGGCGGAAAGTTGATAGGAAGACTGGAGAAGGAAGGAAAGAGGAAGAACAGAGGGATGATGCAGAGAGTGTCGTGAAGGGAAGAAGACAGTGATGCAAGAAATATGCTAAGACATTGAGGTTTTGGGATTGGAAAGAATGGAAGGTTAAAGTAGGAATGCGAGCAAAGCATGAAGGGATGTGTGAAAAACTATTGAGCAAGATCTTTCAAGAGGGACAGGAAAGAACCAGGGACAGAATGTAGGAAATGGGGCTTACGCTCGTAAAAGGGTTTGAAAGAGTGCTTTGCCAGTTGCCCGGAATCTGAGACCAACAGGAACTCGAACCCTCGGCTCTAGAGAGCTGTGTGGCTTCAGTCTCGCTTACCAACCGGCACAAAGGTGTTAGCCAGAGTCGTGTCATACTCATTTCCCTGTTCGTGACAGACACTGCAGTGAGTGGTCAATCGACACCCCAAAACAACTTCTACCTTACACTCCACAATCACATGCTCTTGTCGCATGCACACTACTAGTATCAAGACCACCGATACAGCGAGGAGAGGTTGGTGATCAGGAGCTGATGCAAATGGATAAGAAATAAGAGGGGGAAATGGAGTGCATGGGTCAGGAATAGAATTGAAGGGAAGAAAAACGGCGGAGAGTAGCGAGGAGAACCTGGAGTACAGCCAAGCAAAGGCCTTGCTCGGTGCTTACAGATTGTCCAGTCCTGCAAGGTTGCCGATTGCAGCAGGAATTGTTCCACTGAGCTGGTTCTCAGCAAGTTCTCTGCAAAGATGAGTTTGAATGGGCATGTGGTAGATATAGGAAGCTCAACTTTGCATGCTAACGACCAACGGATAGGAGCAAGCAACTCTGTTGGAAGGCGAAACCTCAGAGAATGCAACAGAGGCATGAACGGCAACACGATGGACATTGATGGAAAAAAAGAAAGACAGAGGACAGAAGAAGGAAAAGAAAAATATTGATCTCGATCAACCTGATCCTGTGAATGTCCTACACCTCATTTGTCTGCTATACCAAAACTTTGTCGCGAAAGAGCGACGATTTTTTTTTTTATGCCCGACAAAAAAACGTGGGAATAGGCTAGAGTTTGCTCGGATTTGTGTTGTAGTACTGCCTTGTGATTTGTCTATTTTTAAAGCATAGTACACTTTAAAATTTAAGTTCAGGTTTATTTTGAAGCTTTTGCTCTAAACAAAAACACCCTGAGGTTGGTTAGGGTTTCCCAACCTCCTTGATGTATCTCGACAAAACTCTCTAGTCCAATTCTTCAACTTGTCAACCAAACTACCTACTCTATTAGGCTCTTATTGAAGCAGTGGCCATGATATGGCAAAAAAAAACAAAAAAAAAACAAAAAAAAAAAAGAGTGAGAGCTTACTTTGCATGCTTTCAGCAACAATTCACTAGCCATGGGTGTTTCGGTTCGGACCGTATGCTGTTCAGAGTGGTTCGGTTCGAAATGGTTTGGTTCGTTTGACTATGCCCACGAAATTGAGCAGGTTTGACTTGAACCAGCTCAAGTCTGTAGTTGACCACCTACTTACAGTTGCTCCAGTCTCGTAAGGGTGCCGATTTCAGTAGGGATTGAGCCACTGAGCTGATTGCTGTCAAGAAATCTGCGACAATGGACAAAGATGGACACAGGTCAAGAATAGCACCAACGAGAAATGGTGGAGAGGAGGGAAGATATGAGAGCACAGCCAAGTGAAGGCCTTGCAGGGTGACTTAAAGGTATCCCAAGTTTGCAAGGTTGTTGATGTCAGAAAGCATTGAGCCATGTATTCTAATCCTTTTTTTTTACTAGCTTACCTACCTGCTCATTTTCGACTCTCCTAGGGTTGTCTTAACATGCTGTCTGAAGCTACATCCTCAGCAACAAAGGCTATCTCCACAGTGGGCTCCTTCCTCACAGCAGCCATACGAGCCAGGTGCCACATCCAGCACAAGCTCAGCCCCGTTTTGTGGCGGAGACCTTGAGCACTGACAGCGTCAAACGCTACCACTTAGGGGTTCGCACGAAAGTTGGAGATATGAGTACTGTAAGGGCCGCATCCCGCCATTCCTGAGCATCCCGCCAACCCTGGGCGCAGAGGAAAGGCTGACGAGCCCGTCAGGACAAGGGCTCAGGAGGCGATTGGTTGAGCGCTGTCCGCCGTGCAATCCCGCGGCGGGTCGTGTTCACCAGGTGGTTCCATTACGACTGAGGAGTGAGCCGAGGACGCCAATAGTCCGACGGGGGGAGGGGCGGGAGATGTAGCCCCACCTCGGCTAGAGCTACGCCAAGGGGGGGACAAGGCAAACGAGCAGCTAGTTTGCTCTAGTTGCGGATCCTATGGGGACGAGGCGCTGGGGGTGATGAATCGTTTGGTGCCAAGAATGACAAGAAATCCGCGGGTGACCCAGCTTTTATCCCCGATAAAGAGGCTTCACAATCCAGGCTTCACCCCAAATATGAAGCGCGACAGGAACCTGAGCCGTACATACGAATCGGGAGACAGATTCCCCAACCAATGAGGAGCAGTCTAGGCCAGTCCCAACCCATCCAATCCTACACCCTGGCGACCATGCCTCCCGCCAATATCTCTTCGACAGCAACTCCACCTAGGACTCGGTCTCGCTTCGCAACAGTCACCAGCCAACCCTTGCCCGACACCCCCACTCGCCCATCGCGAAGCCTTTGTGGCCTGTTTGCTGACACCCTAGCTTGCGACCGATCCAACCTCAACCTTGATGGAGGTTACTAATGTTCCTCCCGCGCTTGCTTCTTCCCACCTCGTCAGCCCGCCGCCCTGACTTGCCTTGCAAGCGATGGGGGACAGAATCATTCCCTTCCACCAAGTTTTAGCGGCAAAACTATACTACGAGGAGGTCAGTGCTCTCACATCACCATCGCCATGTTGACACTAGGGATGCCTTGCAGTTACTGAAGGACTCGCCAAACAAGGCAACCTGGGCGAAATTCCTTTAGTCCACGCTGCTAGGAGACGTGCAGGCAGCACTGGGTTCCCGACACCTTGCTGCCTCAACACCCCTCTTGGACTGGATTCCCACCCTGCTGCCCAAGATCTCCGCCGCCTTCTGACCAAGTGCCCAGATGGGGTCAGTGCTGGTCCGTTAGGGACCACCTTTGAACATCTCTATGACGCGGTCCTCAGGAACGCGGATGTGTTCCAACATCCACACAGCCCACGCCGGTAAATTGAGCACAGAAGCGGCAGATTTGCTTACCGCCTCACCTATAATTGTGCGGCGATGAGGCTATACTATCGAATCCACTTTCGACTCAGCCGTCCTACCCACTGTGGCAGGAATATATAGCTCCACCGTGTCAACGGGAGTTGGGTGTTGGCGCCGTCCTCACTTGGGCGGAGCCGACTTCGTGGCCAGGTGTGCGGGAGGTGTAGCCGACCGACTACAGTGGGCGACGCTGACTTGGGGCGAGCAGGTCGACAGGCTTGGTCGAGCTGCACGGGGCCACTGCGAAGCCGCCGACGACGGGAAGCCGGCGGCCGACTTCAACTGTGGTCGATCTGGAGTTGGTCGACTTAAAAAGTGGCCAACTTGGTGAAGTCGACTGGTGGTCGTCGACTTGGGTGGTTGACGAGCGCGTACAGTAGTATGTCAACTTCTACCGAACAAGTTGACGCCGACTTACTGGTTTCCCCGTCGATCAAGTTACCAGGGCAACGAGTTTGTGCGGGGTGCGCGATTGTCGCCAGATGGTTTGCGGCAAAGTCGACCTCGGAGTGGTATCCCAAAGTCGACGTGGCTCATCAGGCACAAACAACGGCATGTGGCCGCCTTGGCACCTGCGCTATGCACGTGACGGTGCGCGTCGCACCAACCGACTACGAGCACCTGCGAAGCAGGTGCACTGCTGTCATTTGCGGGTGTAATGCTGGACAGCCGCCTTGCTGCAGCGTTGGCACGCCGTCGACTTGCAGTGTTGGCGAGCCGTCTTTCTGCAGCGCTGAAGAGGTGCAGACTTTGCAGCGCTGGAACATCGACCTTCTGCGCTGGAAGTCGACCTGCTTGCTTGCTAGGCAGACTTGCTTCTCATGTAGTCAACTTAGCCAACGTTATTGCAACCACTGTGTAATTCTTTTGCTAGAGAAACACGCAAGGGACGTTGCGATCACTCACACAGCCGTGCCTTACCCCGTAGTCTAGCTCCCGTTGTAGAGTTGCTCTCCGCACACCGTGCTTTCCTGTTCTTGCTCCTAAGATGCGCCTCTTGTTCTTCCACTAGGTGCTCTGGTTGCCGTGCCTCCAATTGTTGGTACCCAGTCGGCACCCGCCCTTCCTTTAACTCTGGTCGTGGCTGTGCAAGTGCCGGTGGTAACCATAGAAATGACAGATTTTGCGCTTGTACAAGAGTAGAGCACACCGCGGGCGAACTTCGCAGTACAGGCGACCTCGGGGTTCCGCACTCCCCGGCGGCTCATGGTGGCTGGACTTTGCTCTTGGGTTCGTCTTGCGCTTGAGACGCTTGGGCAGTTGTGGCTTCTCTCCATAAGCTGCCACTGACTAAAGTTGGTCCCAAAACATGGGAAGCGCCAGAAGTGTCGAAGGTGGCTGGTAGGGCTCGAAAAGCAGGTAGGGCACGTTGCGGGCGCGCCAGTGCCGGGTGGGGCTGTCCAGCATCTACCCCTGCTCGCTGGCTTGGGACTGTTGCAGATTCAATCCAGAAGTCAATGCTGTTGACGTCAGCGTATAACTGGCTCATTAGTCGTGGAAGGCCATGGCAGGCATGCTTGTCGCGCCATGGTGTAGTCGTGGTCTGCCGCGTGCATTGTTGCCCCATCTTGTGTGCTAGACCTCTTGCATTGGTGTTGATGCCATCTAGGGATGAGCAAAATCCCGAACGCCTGTTCGGTTCGCCTCGAACATGTTCGAAGCGAACCGAACAGGCATTTTTTTTTGCCTAAATGGTTCGGGCCGAACATGTTCGGTGTTCGGCCGAACATGTTCGACGTTCGCCCAAGGAGTTCGGCTATCCAAGCCAAACACAAACATGTTCGTGTTCGACTTGGGGGCCACGCGAACACCAAAAATGTTCGCGTCAAAAATTGGCCGCGACCAGATTTAGGTCGCGACCAATTTGTGTTTGAGCTCATTTCGTGAGCTCAAACTCAGAAGTCGTTTTCGCCTTAGCGCTCCCTCACACAGCCGCCCTAGACTCCTTGTTCTAGGTGCAAGCAAGTGCACTCTGAACACTTGAACCCTAAACGGACATTAGATAGATAGATCTATGCATAGGGTTTAACGTAGTGTAGGGAGTTTAGGGTTACTATTAAGGTTCAGCGAGCATCTCCGCAAAGTGCTCAAGTAGGGCGTATCCTACGCCGTAGGATTCGGATCGGGCATTAGGAACGTGCGGCACCATCCAACGCTACCGTTGCAGGAAGGGTGTTTTCGGGTTTAGGGTCGAGGGCGGAGTTATGGCTTCCAGGGCTGGTGGATCCATAGGCCGAGGTGCAGGCAGGGCTCAGGGCAGCGCACCGGGATCTCCACCACGACCTATGCAGGGGCGAGTAGGGGATGGACCGGGAGGAGCCGGCGCGATCTTCGTTGGGGGGTTGCTTACTGTACCGGCGCCGACCTCTCGTCGCTCTTTCCGTTACGATGGCCCTCGACCCCCTCTTTCGGGGCAGACGCCGACGCAGCCGGAGAGCGGCAGTGAGGAGGAGGATGAGGAGGAGGATGGTGAGGGCGAGAAGGAGGAGGACACTGAGGGGAGCGGGGATGATAGCGAGGCGGCGTGGGACCCAGAGACGCATGGCGGTGGGGAGGGGGGAGATGATGATGATGAAGACCACGAGATGGATGGGTTGGAGCCAGAGGGGCGGGAGGAGGAGGTGGGAGAGGGTGGTGGAAGGGCGGCAACAGAGGCGGGATCACAGCATGTGCGTGAAGGGGGAGGGAGCGTGGGGGTTAAGGTGGGGGGGAGAAAGGCCGTGACCATTAGGGAGCCGAGGCAGAGGAAGAAGGCCAACAAGTTGAGGGAGCGGGCGTATCCCTGCACGTTCACTGGGGAGCCCTTGGGCGAGGGTGTGATTGCTCCCGAGTTCCTAGACGAGGACGGAGGGTCTGAGAGTAGTAAGGGGATTGGCAAGGGTAATAGGAAGCCGGGGTGGCAAGTAATGATGTTCGGACCGTTAGGGGCAGACGATAAGCGTCAGTGCAAGATTTGCACAGACAGGATTTCGTGGAACCAATCCACAACAACCCCCGGCGAGCGGCACTTTGCGAGCTTCCACACTGCGCACATGCATGTGTGGCATCACCGTTACCACACCCCGTCCGTTCACTTGCCAGGGGAAACGTTTCCACGTGGGGGCTACAAGGGAGTGCAGGATGGCTACGTCTATCAGTGGCCACATGCCAAGACTTGGCCGCAGCTCGCCAAGGGGAAAGGGATGACGACTGGTGGAGGTCATGGGTAAGGCGGGATGGAGCGGTGGATGACAACCAAACTGACCTCGGAGCAGCTACGGCAGGCGATCACGAAGCTGGTGGTCACCTGCGACCTCCCCTTCCGCATCGTCGAGGTCGAGGCTGTAAGTGCCCCATCCCATCCCATGCATGATTGGGCAAGTATGTGGTTAGTGGACGGGTCTGTCCCTTTGTGTGTTGACTGTTTGCGTGTGGCCCAGTGCAGTGCTATATTATTTTCATTCCATCCCCTTGACGTTTACTCCCCTCTCCCCCCTTGTCTCTACCCCTCTCCAGTTTCGTGAGCTACTCATCCTGCTAAACCGCGACTGCGCGCAGAAGAACTTCATCCCCTCGCGCTGGACGGTTTCCCGCGATACAGTGGTCTATGCGGCTGCCGCTCTTCAGTCAGCCATTGCGGAGATGCTGGCGAAGGAGGGGGAGCTGGGGTGCAGGGTGTCGTTCACCATCATCGACATGTGGACGTCGCCCAACAACAGGGCGTGGCTAGTGGTAACGGGTCACTGGATCGACGAGAATTACCTGCTGCGCACAATGGTGTTTGAATTCTGCGAGATTCTCGGGCGTCACACGGGCAAGCAGATGACGAGGGTGGTTGAGGAGACTGTGGTGCAATGGGGGTTGGAGACGCGTTGTTTTAGGTTGACCTCGGACAACGCCTCCAGCAACACTGCCGCTTTCAGGTGGATGTCGGAGGAGGGTGATGGCCAGTGCTTCTTCAACTCGCGCGTGCACTTCCGGTACGAAAGGGTGTGTGCGTGGGCTGTGCGATGAGGGAGTCTGGGTGCGTCGTTCCTGTGATGTGAACATGTTGTGGTTGTAGTACAGACGAGTGGGCCTATGCGGCTTGAGAGTGGTAGTGTTTCTCGGATCTATGGCAATGTGTCCTCACACTTCCCTTTCTCTCCGCCATGAATGTTTTGTGATGTGCGCAGATGCCTGGCACACGTGATCAACCTTGCAGTGAAGGCAGCACTCGCTGTGACCGCCATCCGCAAGTTGCTGAAGATTCTGAGAGAGATGGCGTCGTGGATAGGCTCGCCGCAGCGCTCAGGGAAGTTCTTGGGCCTTCAGCGGACCCTGAACGCGCAGAAAAACTATTGAGCAAGATCTTTCAAGAGGGACAGGAAAGAACCGGGGACAGAATGTAGGAAATGGGGCTTACGCTCGTAAAAGGGTTTGAAAGAGTGCTTTGCCAGTTGCCCGGAATCTGAGACCAACAGGCACTCGAACCCTCCGCTCTAAAGAGCTGTGTGGCTTCAGTCTCGCTTACCAACCGGCACAAAGGTGTTAGCCAAAGTCGTGTCAGACTCATTTCCCTGTTCGTGACAGACACTGCAGTGAGTGGTCAATCGACACCCCAAAACAACTTCTACCTTACACTCCACAATCACATGCTCTTGTCGCATGCACACTACTAGTATCAAGACCACCGATACAGCGAGGAGAGGTTGGTGATCAGGAGCTGATGCAAATGGATAAGAAATAAGAGGGGGAAATGGAGTGCATGGGTCAGGAATAGAATTGAAGGGAAGAAAAACGGCGGAGAGTAGCGAGGAGAACCTGGAGTACAGCCAAGCAAAGGCCTTGCTCGGTGCTTACAGAAAGCGCAGTCCTGCAAGGTTGCCGATTGCAGCAGGAATTGTGCCACTGAGCTGGTTAAAAGAAAGTACTCTGCAACAACGAGCACGAATGGGCATGTGGTAGATATAGGAAGCTCAACTTTGCATGCCAACGAGCAACGGATAGGAGCAACAGCTCCACTGGTGGCGAAATCCCTGAGATGCAATGGAGGCATGAAACGCAGCATGATGGACATTGCCCTTGGGATGTGTGCTGATACTGGCAGGGGGAAGATGGGGGCAGGAGCAACGTGCACTTTGTGTGCCCCAAGGAGTGTCATCAACATATAGAATGGCCCTGGGAGCGAGAGGCGGAAAGTTGATAGGAAGACTGGAGAAGGAAGGAAAGAGGAAGAACAGAGGGATGATGCAGAGAGTGTCGTGAAGGGAAGAAGACAGTGATGCAAGAAATATGCTAAGACATTGAGGTTTTGGGATTGGAAAGAATGGAACGTTAAAGTAGGAATGGGAGCAAAGCATGAAGGGAGGTGTGAAAAACTATTGAGCAAGATCTTCCAAGAGGGACAGGAAAGAACCGGGGACAGAATGTAGGAAATGGGGCTTACGCTCGTAAAAGGGTTTGAAAGAGTGCTTTGCCAGTTGCCCGGAACCTGAGACCAACAGGCACTCTAACCCTCGGCTCTAGAGAGCTGTGTGGCTTCAGTCTCGCTTACCAACCGGCACAAAGGTGTTAGCCAGAGTCGTGTCATACTCATTTCCCTGTTCGTGACAGACACTGCAGTGAGTGGTCAATCGACACCCCAAAACAACTTCTACCTTACACTCCACAATCACATGCTCTTGTCGCATGCACACTACTAGTATCAAGACCACCGATACAGCGAGGAGAGGTTGGTGATCAGGAGCTGATGCAAATGGATAAGAAATAAGAGGGGGAAATGGAGTGCATGGGTCAGGAATAGAATTGAAGGGAAGAAAAACGGCGGAGAGTAGCGAGGAGAACCTGGAGTACAGCCAAGCAAAGGCCTTGCTCGGTGCTTACAGATTGTCCAGTCCTGCAAGGTTGCCGATTGCAGCAGGAATTGTTCCACTGAGCTGGTTCTCAGAAAGTACTCTGCAAAGATGAGTTTGAATGGGCATGTGGTAGATATAGGAAGCTCAACTTTGCATGCTAACGACCAACGGATAGGAGAAAGCAACTCTGTTGGAAGGCGAAATCTCAGAGAATGCAACAGAGGCATGAAAGGCAACACGATGGACATTGATGGATAGATGGAGGAGGGCAGAAGAAGGAAGGGAAAAATATTGATCTCGATCAACCTGATCCTGTGAATGTCCTACACCTCATTTGTCTGCTATACCAAAACTTTGTCGCGAAAGAGCGACGATTTTTTTTTATGCCCGACAAAAAAATATCGATGTGATCTTTTGAAAAACAGTGAGGAAAAAATATCTTTTCCTCGTGTGTAACTACCGACTCAAATTTGGATATGCTTAATTCAACCAACCTAAGGTTTTTACATGAGCAATGCTCGAACTCAGTCATCATCGTGAACTCCCATTAGCCATGACTCGAACATGTTTGTGAACACCCCTTAGCCACGAGCCGAACATGTTCACTTCGTTGCGAACCTTACTTCTCATGGGTGAAGACCTCACTGTTCGTCGCAAACTCAAACATGTTCGGTCCGCAAAGGGGATTTTCCCTATAGTGGCAACTGCACTAGAACCCATTTAGTCTCAAACTAGAAAACTACCGTAAGCTTTCAATCTGAAATGGTTTGGTTCATTCGACTATGCCCACGACTTCGAGCAGTTTGACACGAACCATCTCATGTTCTGTACTTGCTCACCACCTACTTACAGCGTCTGCAGGTTCGTAAGGGTGCTGATTGCAGTAGGGATTGAGCCACTGAGCTGATTGTTTTGAAGAAATCTGCGACAATGAACAAGGATGGACATGGGTCAGGATAAGCATCAAGGGGAAAAATGGTGGGGAGGAGAAAGGAAGATATAAGAGCACACCGAAGAAAAGGCCTTGCAGGGTGGATTATAGGTTTGCAAGGTTGCTGATTTCAGAAACAATTGAGCCTTGTATCCTACACCAAACCATTGACTCGCTTACCTACCTCCTCTAACATGGGCAGACGACCCTGTTGGTTGGAGTAACCCGACCCGTCACGACTTTTGGCCGGGTCGGGTTAGAGATACTGATGCCCTCCCAGCCAGGGTCGGGTCGACCCGATACGCGAAAGGGGTTATTTTCTTCGGGTAATGCTGACTCGTCGGGTCGACCCAACCCGAAATCGGGTCAAGATACAGAACTCGTCGAGCATGAAAAAAGGGAGAAAAAAAAAAACAAAACAAAACAACGGCTTGATAAAAACAAAAAAGACATTGGGGAGAGAAAGAACTAGGTCAAATTTGAATTTGTAACCCAAAGCCCACAGATTTGTTCACAACTTCGTCTCCAACCAATCCCCCCTCCCGTAACCGAAATCACTGCACTGAATCCAAAAAAACCACCCAATTTGAGATCTGAAATTTTGACAGCCAAATGAAGAACAAGATCTAGAAGTTCTAGGTCTCGATCAACTTGATCCCATCAATGTCCTACAACTAATTTGTCAGCTATACCAAGTTTTTGCGCTAATTTTTCGTGCCGAAAAGCAGAACATCAGTTACATCGATTGATACACAGTGAGGTTATTTTTTCTTTTCCTCATGTGTAGCTGCCTGACCCGATTTCGGGTATGCTTGATCCAACCAACTAGAGATGAGCAACCAGCCCGGCCCGACCCGACCCGACCCGACTTGGCCGGGCCACACAGGCTGCCGGGTCGGGTCGGGTCGGGTCAGGCTCGGGCCAGATTCCAGACTGTTCTGGCCCGACCCGGGCCCACACACTCGGGTCAACTTGGACCCGGGTACGGGTCGGGTCGGGTCGGGCCAGGATGACTCGCCCATGTTTGGGGTGCAGTAAGGTGTGTGTTCGTGAACGTTTTTTTGGTTACAGTGTATAACAAGTTTGCTGTGGGAGTAGGCTAGAGTTTGCTCGGATTTGTGTTGTAGTACTGCCTTGTGATTTGTCTATTTTTAAAGCATAGTACACTTTAAAATTTAAGTTCAGGTTTATTTTGAAGCTTTTGCTCTAAACAAAAACACCCTGAGGTTGGTAAGGGTTTCCCAACCTCCTTGATGTATCTCGACAAAACTCTCTAGTCCAATTCTTCAACTTGTCAACCTAACTACCTACTCTATTAGGCTCTTATTGTAGCAGTGGCCATGATATGGCAACAAAAAAAAAAAAAAAAAAAAAAAAAAAAAAAAAAAAAAAAAGAGTGAGAGCTTACTTTGCATGCTTTCAGCAACAATTCACTGGCCATGGGTGTTTCGGACTAGGGATGAGCAAAGGGCGAACACGAACATGTTCGTCTTCGCCCCTTGTCGAACACCCTCTTTTGCCGAACCGAACACTGTTTGGTTCGGCGAACACTTTAGGAAAAAACAGGTGTTCGCTGTTCGCCTGTGGAGGCGTGTTCGGGCGAACCTCAAACACTGTTCGTGTTCGTCGCGGGCAAATTTCAGCAGCGGCCCGAACACGAACATGTTCGGGCGAACATCGAACACTGTTCGGCGAACGATTTGAGCTCAAAAACAAAAATTGTTCGGTTCGCCTCGAGCCACCTTGCTCATCCCTATTTCGGACCGTATGCTGTTCAGAGTGGTTCAGTTCGAAATGGTTTGGTTCGTTCGACTATGCCCACGAAATTGAGCAGGTTTGACTCAAGTCTGTAGTTGACCACCTACTTACAGTTCCTGCAGTCTTGTAAGGGTGCCGATTGAAGTAGGGATTGAGCCACTGAGCTGATTGCTCTCAAGACATCTGCGACGATGGACAAGGATGGACACAGGTCAAGAATAGCACCAACGAGAAATGGTGGAGAGAAGGGAAGATATGAGAGCACAGCCAAGTGAAGGCCTTGCAGGGTGCTTGAATGTATCCCAGGTTTTCAAGGTTGTTGATGTCAGAAAGCATTGAGCCATGTATTCTAGTCCTAATTTTTTACGACTCTCTTAGGGTTGTCTTAACATGCTGTCTGAAGCTACATCCTCAGCAACAAAGGCTATCTCCACAGTGGGCTCCTTCCTCACAGCAGCCATACGAGCCAGGTGCCACATCCAGCACAAGCTCAACCCCGTTTCGTGGCGGAGACCTTGGGCACTGACAGCGTCAAACGCTACCACTTAGGGGTTCGCACGAAAGTTTGAGATATGAGTACTGCAAGGGCCGCATCCCGCCATTCCTGAGCATCCCACCAACCCTGGGCGCAGAGGAAATGCTGACGAGCCCGTCGGGACAAGGGCTCGGGAGGCGATTGGTTGAGAGCTGTCCGCCGTGCAATCCCGCGGCGGGTCGTGTTCACCAGGTGGTTCCATTACGACTGAGGAGTGAGCCGAGGACGCCAATAGTCCGACGGGGGGAGGGGCGGGAGATGTAGCCCCACCTCGGCTAGAGCTACGCCAAGGGGGGGACAAGGCAAACGAGCAGCTAGTTTGCTCTAGTTGCGGATCCTATGGGGACGAGGCGCTGGGGGTGATGAATCGTTTGGTGCCAAGAATGACAAGAAATCCGAAATGGTTTGGTTCGTTCGACTATGCCCACGAAATTGAGCAGGTTTGACTTGAACCAGCTCAAGTCTGTAGTTGACCACCTACTTACAGTAGCTGCAGTCTCGTAAGGGTGCCGATTTCAGTAGGGATTGAGCCATTGAGCTCATTGCTGTCAAGAAATCTGCGACAATGGACAAAGATGGACACATGTCAAGAATGGCACCAACGAGAAATGGTGGAGAGGGGGGAAGATATGAGAGCACAGCCAAGTGAAGGCCTTGCAGGGTGACTTAAAGGTATCCCAAGTTTGCAAGGTTGTTGATGTCAGAAAGCATTGAGCCATGTATTCTAATCCTTTTTTTTTACTAACTTACCTACCTGCTCATTTTCGACTCTCCTAGGGTTGTCTTAACATGCTGTCTGAAGCTACATCCTCAGCAACAAAGGCTATCTCCACAGTGGGCTCCTTCCTCACAGCAGCCATACGAGCCAGGTGCCACATCCAGCACAAGCTCAACCCTGTTTCGTGGCGGAGACCTTGAGCACTGACAGCGTCAAACGCTACCACTTAGGGGTTCGCACGAAAGTTGGAGATATGAGTACTGCAAGGGCCGCATCCCGCCATTCCTGAGCATCCCGCCAACCCTGGGCGCAGAGGAAAGGCTGACGAGCCTGTCAGGACAAGGGCTCGGGAGGCGATTGGTTGAGCGCTGTCCGCCGTGCAATCCCGCGGCGGGTCGTGTTCACTAGGTGGTTCCATTACGACTGAGGAGTGAGCCGAGGACGCCAATAGTCCGACGGGGGGAGGGGCGGGAGATGTAGCCCCACCTCGGCTAGAGCTACGCCAAGGGGGGGACAAGGCAAACGAGCAGCTAGTTTGCTCTAGTTGCGGATCCTATGGGGACGAGGCGCTGGGGGTGATGAATCGTTTGGTGCCAAGAATGACAAGAAATCCGCGGGTGACCCAGCTTTTATCCCCGATGAAGAGGGGAGTTTGACTCCCTCAAATCAAAAGGACGAAGCCAACCCAGCCGTGGGACAAAATCCACTACCCGCACGAAGCTCATCCACAATCCAGGCTTCACCCCAAATATGAAGCGCGACAGGAACCTGAGCCGTACATACGAATCGGGAGACAGATTCCCCAACCAATGAGGAGCAGTCTAGGCCAGTCCCAACCCATCCAATCCTACACCCTGGCGACCATGCCTCCCGCCAATATCTCTTCGACAGCAACTCCACCTAGGACTCGGTCTCGCTTCGCAACAGTCACCAGCCAACCCTTGCCCGACACCCCCACTCGCCCATCGCGAAGCCTTTGTGGCCTGTTTGCTGACACCCTAGCTCTACCTTGTGACCGATCCAACCTCAACCTTGATGGAGGTTACTAATGTTCCTCCCGCGCTTGCTTCTTCCCACCTCGTCAGCCCGCCGCCCTGACTTGCCTTGCAAGCGATGGGGGACAGAATCATTCCCTTCCACCAAGTTTTAGCGGCAAAACTATACTACGAGGAGGTCAGTGCTCTCACATCACCATCGCCATGTTGACACTAGGGATGCCTTGCAGTTGCTGAAGGACTCGCCACACAAGGCAACCTGGGCGAAATTCCTTTAGTCCACGCTGCTAGGAGACGTGCAGGCAGCACTGGGTTCCCAACACCTTGCTGCCTCAACACCCCTCTTGGACTGGATTCCCACCCTGCTGCCCAAGATCTCCGCCGCCTTCTGACCAAGTGCCCAGATGGGGTCAGTGCTGGTCCGTTAGGGACCACCTTTGAACATCTCTATGACGCGGTCCTCAGGAACGCGGATGTGTTCCAACATCCACACAGCCCACGCCGGTAAATTGAGCACAGAAGCGGCAGATTTGCTTACCGCCTCACCTAGAATTGTGCGGCGATGAGGCTATACTATCGAATCCACTATCGAATCCACTTTCGACTCAGCCGTCCTACCCACTGTGGCAGGAATATATAGCTCCACCGTGTCAACGGGAGTTGGGTGTTGGCGCCGTCCTCACTTGGGCGGAGCCGACTTCGAGGCCAGGTGTGCGGGAGGTGTAGCCGACCGACTACAGTGGGCGACGCTGACTTGGGGCGAGCAGGTCGACAGGCTTGGTCGAGCTGCACGGGGCCACTGCGAAGCCGCCGACGACGGGAAGCCGGCGGCCGACTTCAACTGTGGTCGATCTGGAGTTGGTCGACTTAAAAAGTGGCCAACTTGGTGAAGTCGACTGGTGGTCGTCGACTTGGGTGGTTGACGAGCGCGTACAGTAGTATGTCAACTTCTACCGAACAAGTTGACGCCGACTTACTGGTTTCCCCGTTGATCAAGTTACCAGGGCAACGAGTTTGTGCGGGGTGCGCGATTGTCGCCAGATGGTTTGCGGCAAAGTCGACCTCGGAGTGGTATCCCAAAGTCGACGTGGCTCATCAGGCACAAACAACGGCATGTGGCCGCCTTGGCACCTGTGCTATGCACGTGACGGTGCGCGTCGCACCAACCGACTACGAGCACCTGCGAAGTAGGTGCACTGTTGTCATTTGCGGGTGTAATGCTGGACAGCCGCCTTGCTGCAGCGTTGGCACGCCGTCGACTTGCAGTGTTGGCGAGCCGTCTTTCTGCAGCGCTGAAGAGGTGCGGACTTTGCAGCGCTGGAACATCGACCTTCTGCGCTGGAAGTCGACCTGCTTGCTTGCTAGGCAGACTTGCTTCTCATGTAGTCAACTTAGCCAACGTTATTGCAACCACTGTGTAATTCTTTTGCTAGAGAAACACGCAAGGGACGTTGCGATCACTCACACAACCGTGCCTTACCCCGTAGTCTAGCTCCCGTTGTAGAGTTGCTCTCCGCACACCGTGCTTTCCTGTTCTTGCTCCTAAGATGCGCCTCTTGTTCTTCCACCAGGTGCTCCGGTTGCCGTGCCTCCAATTGTTGGTACCCAGTCGGCACCCGCCCTTCCTTTAACTCTGGTCGTGGCTGTGCAAGTGCCGGTGGTAACCATAGAAATGACAGATTTTGCGCTTGTACAAGAGTAGAGCACACCGCGGGCGAACTTCGCAGTACAGGCGACCTCGGGGTTCCGCACTCCCCGGCGGCTCATGGTGGCTGGACTTTGCTCTTGGGTTCGTCTTGCGCTTGAGACACTTGGGCAGTTGTGGCTTCTCTCCATAAGCTGCCATTGACTAAAGTTGGTCCCAAAACATGGGAAGCGCCAGAAGTGTCGAAGGTGGCTGGTAGGGCTCGAAAAGCAAGTAGGGCACGTTGCGGGCGCGCCAGTGCCGGGTGGGGCTGTCCAGCATCTACCCCTGCTCGTTGGCTTGGGACTGTTGCAAATTCAATTCAGAAGTCAATGCTGTTGACGTCAGCGTATAACTGGCTCATTAGTCGTGGAAGGCCATGGCAGGCATGCTTGTCGCGCTAGGGGTGGAGGCCATGGTGTAGTCGTGGTCTGCCGTGTGCATTGTTGCCCCATCTTGTGTGCTAGACCTCTTGCATTGGTGTTGATGCCATCTAGGGCTGAGCAAAATCCCGAACGCCTGTTCGGTTCGCCTCAAACATGTTCGAGGCGAACCGAACAGGCATTTTTTTTTGCCTAAATGGTTTGGGCCGAACATGTTCGACGTTCGCCCCAGGATTTCGGCTATGCATGATCATCCTAGCCCGGCGGGTCGGGCCGACCCGACCCGACCCGGGTTTTGACCCGGGTCGGGTCAGGCACTTTGAAGGGCTGACCCGGGCGGGTCGGGTCGGGTTTACCCGGCCGGGTCGAGCCGACCCGACACCCGAAACCGGATCGGGTCGGGTAGGGTCAGTTTTTGACCCGAAATTTGACCCGACTCGACATCGGGTACCGCTCCCTAAGTCGGGTCGGGCCAAATGCCCGACCCGAGTTTCTCTCCCATGACAATTCGAACCTAAACAGATCGCGACGTCAATGTCTTGGGGTTTTTTGGTCCCTCGACATTGAGTTCGATCTGCTACACCTAGGCAACTAGCAATAGCTCGTTCTCAAGCTCTAGAACTCTCTAAACCAGCGCCCATGTTTAGGAACCCTATTTCAAGTGTTTCAATGTTGGCGGAATGGACTTCTTAGCCTAGCGCGACCAACCACAGATTTTCGATTTTATAAACTTAGTTATTCCTAGCTCTCATACGCGTGTAAACTCTGGCCCCGCGTTCAAATCGCCCACTGCGCGCCTACCACGCCCGCATCTTTAGGGACGCGACCCCCAATTGTCTAGGCCTGCGCCATTACAAAAACGTCGCGACTCCAAGGTCCGAAACGTAATAGACGCCGCTTGCACGCGAATGGAGGGGGAAGAAGGCAGCTCACGCGCTATTCCTGGGGCTTCGCTTGGAGGCCTCCCGACACCGGCCTCCAGGGCCAGTTTTCGCTTGGGGAGCGTCTTCAATGGGCAGGAAATTGGGTGGGACGATGCAATCGCGACGAGGAGGCGTGAAGAGGTGCGGGAATGGGAGTCTCAAGGACCTGGCCCAGTGACGGAGGAGCAAGGAACACGGGGAAAGGAGAAGGACCCGGATTGGAGGCCGGCTCCAGGGTAGGCGGCCGGCACGAGTGGAGGATCGGGTGATGAGGGTTGGGGAGGGAGAGGAGGGAGCCAGGCTGGTGCCAGCGGTGCAGCAACAAAGAGGCCACGCACGAGTGGGCCTGTGGGGTCGGGAGCTGGAGGGGCCGGGCCGGCGTCGAATTCGCAGCCGCAGGGGGCAGCCGCGGGTGGTTCTGAGGGGTCGGGCGCAGCAGGGGCAGGTACCTCCGCCGCTGCGGCAGGTGTTGCACCTTTGGGTGGGTCTGCGGGGGCTGGAGCAAGCCAGAGGTCCGACAGGGCGGGCAGGACCCCTACCGATGAGGAGCTGGACCCATGGACTGAGGAGGTGCTTAGGAATGCAGAACCCGGGCTGGTTCGTGGCATGTTCAGTGAGAAGGATGTGAAAGAGGCTAGGAATTGCAAGATTTGCAAGAAGAAGATTAGCTGGAAAGGTAGTTGCACGAGCACGGGGAAGAGACACCTCAAGAGGAGCCACTACCCCAGTCTGCAGATCTGGTGTCGGCGTTTCAAGGATCCAAACAAGCCAGACAACCTGACGTTTCCCGATGGGGGATGGGGTCCGGATGTCCCCGACCAGACAGCGTGGCCTTGGGAGCATGCAGCCACGTG